ATTGGAAACAAATAGTGCCAAATAATGCCCAACATTTCGAATATCAAATTCAAGTTAAAACAGAAAAATTATTATTTGCGGTGTGCACAAACGAGAGAAAAAAAAACACAGTTGGTGAGACAGCTATCCCAACGTGTTTACTTTCCTGCAGGGCACGCGGAATGAAAACAGTCCACCACGAATAAAATCGATGTTAATGACCACACTGCAATGAAGGAAGAACGCGAGACACAGCTAAAGGCTGTATCTGCCCATCCGCATGTGGATACGCAGCGTGCCGGATAACCGGGCGGAAACGTTCAACCGTTTGAAACGGTTCAACGTATGGCACCGCGCTCGACGGCGCGTGGAGCGCCGGGTTAGCGAAAGAGGCGGTGTCAATTCTGACTGTTATTTGTGGTTTGATAGTTAGTTGTTATATAATGGACGCAACAATCGAGAATAAGTTCATAGTGCACAATGCCGTCGGCAGGTGACACAAGTTCATTGAATTCAGCGCATCGAAGAAGTTAGGAACGTTACTGCTTTGTTTTAGGAACACAGGAACAGGACTACTTTCTGTTGACCGAAATGGTTTGTTCGTCAAGGCTTCAACTCCGGTTGAAAACGAAGGGCGACTCTGGTCCTTAGCGGGCGGCAAGCGGGTTAGCGCTTAGCCAAAGAACACTGGCGCAGCACTCTCGTGACGTCACGTCGCGCTGGAGCTGCGGTTGATTGGCCGTACGGTTGTACCGGGTACCGCGGCACCACGTTGATGCCATGTCGCGGCCGTACGGCTGAAGATCGGTGGTGCCATCCATCTAGCAGATACTTTTGGTTTTGCCGTAGACGCCCGAAACCAAACTTTGAGACTTGGTACTCAAAATCTACACACAATATTGATAAAAAAAAGTTATACCTTATAATTCAGGAACTCCGCTTTAGCTGAAAACAGCTGTAATTTCAAATTTAATATATATATATATATATATATATATTGACCGGAGTTTCCCTTTAATACAGAATTGATTTAGATCTAGCGGGAGACCTGCGAGAACTCCCTGACCATATAAACAGCTGCATCAACAGGATTTTTATTGGTCACTTGTACAGATGTTCAATTTATTAAATTATTCAAAAACTTGAATAGTAGAAATCCGAATATCGATTATACTTATTTAAGAAACATTCTTCGACTCAAATTCAAAATCCAAATACTCGTAGACCCCGCTAAAAAAAAAAACGAAAAAAAAAAAAAAAGAACAAAAACACAGCGCGAAGACGAGGACAACGCAAAAGGTAACCGACCCGACACAGCTCTGTGTCTTGCCAATTACCGTTTACCTTGATTTCTTTTTCGCGATTTTTTTTTTTTTTATTATGTCTGTATAGCGGTTAGTTTAAACCTCAACGTTAATCATAATAAAAAATCCTCAATTGATGAAACAATACAAAAATAAGTTAAGAAAAGGTATGGTTAAACAATTAATTAAAAAGAACGATAATAAAATGGCTGGTTATGTATACTTTTTTATGCGCTAACTCCACCGAAACACTCGCAAAGTAATGCCAGAAATGGGGAGACAATATTAAAAGCACAGAGGCCACCGTCCACGTAGGTATTGATGATTGTCTAAACATGTAACTATTCTTTGGGGCTATTTAATGTAACTGACACGCCGTATAGTTGTTGTAGTCGTGTTCTTTGTTTAAGTGCTTTTTCTTAAGATTTTATTTTATTTCTATACCGAGTGAGTGGCCAGTCATGGGTCTACAACGGCTTACATCGCCATTTTGTATACCATTTAGTCAGTATTGAAAAAATAAAAGAACAAAATAAGGAAAGTGTTTGGGGAAAACAATAAGGATTCGACCTTGGCAATTAGAAAGCTGTATTTCTTGTAGAGGCCCACGTGAATGTGTGCTCTTGCGTGAATCTAAAGGGTCTACTATAGCTTCAGTTACAACTTTGGAAGGTACTATATATCAACTAAAAAGCGCGCAAAAGATATTACAACGCTCATGAGCTTGGAAGCTAGAAATAAACTTTACAGTTAAGTCTTGTGAATTTTCCTCTGCTTAGAAACTTAAGCTTTAACGTGCAGTGGAGCAGTACGTAACGATACCCACGCATGTACACACACAAAACTACATACGCACAGCTCTTTGGCTTAGAAAACTTGGTTACAAGTGTACACTCGATTTAACGACCACCTTTGATCCACGCCGGATATCCCATCGGAAACATTGCACCTTCTTGCCTAGTGCACTTCGCTACTGCTTGTTCTTAGAATATATATGCATATATCCTGTCCAATCTCTCGACGGCTTTCTTGTGAACATTTTGTTTTGGGACAGTCTGCTTCTCTATATTCCGCACGAGCGTTTGTCTTCTACCTTACCAAAACGCACAAAAAAAAAAAAAAAACAGAATGCAAGAAAGACCATAAAAAAAGGCAGGACAGAACAGGGGCTCGCGCTAGACAGCAGTAAGAGACAAAACGCGGGGTTGCTACCACGCGTGTTCGGGGTTGCGCGCGGCAACTCTATCTTGTGCCTCGATTTAAAATGCAGCCGGTGGAAACCATCAGGGAGCTACAAAACCCGGGGCTCCCCGACTGAAGCCCTCGTTTTTATCGGGCAGCTATCGAGCTTTTGTTGACTAAATAAAAGGGCCGCCGAGCTCCCCGTGTTTCTTTTCACCGTGGCTTCGTGTTGTCGGCGTGCTGGGGTCGCGGGGTTCGGAGAGCTCGTAAACGGAGGTTTGGGGCCGTCCAATGTTTTTTCCTTTGGCGTTTGTATGTACACGCATCTCGTTTTGCTTTCTTACAACGCGGCGGCTGCGGCGCTTCCTGTTCTACGTTGATAAGCAGCTCCGTCTCAATTCGAAAGAGGTTAGCCGAGTCCCTTGTTTCTCCCTTATCGACGCTGTTATTTATAGCTTTCAACTTATTCGAGGATTTTCTTTTTTTTGTCTTGCCCGTTTTTTTGGGGCGATTGAGTCGTAGGAGCCGATCGAAGTCCGGTTCGATCCCTTCGTGATTTTGATTTTTGCGTGAGCAATATGGCTCTTTCTCAAATAGTTTTGATTTCACACATGAAGTCTTAGGTTTAGAAGAATGTAGGGCAGCGTTTCCGCCTGTCTTTTTTTTCAAGGTTCATTAAATATACCAGTGCTGTTGATGCTGGGTTAGAGAAGCTTTTCAAACAAAAGATTTGTTTCCACCCTCTAAGGTCCGAGTTGTGAAGGCAGATCGCCTGCATCTTCGTCTAAACTTGTTCTCTGGAAGCAGTATGAAAATACATTATCTGACACTTTTTCGATGAAAATATTCAAGCTACAAAAGCGAAACATTTTATTCTCCCTCACTCCCATTTAAAACTTTCGACTTGTCGGTCAGTTTGCACGACTGCTATAGTGAGCTTCACGTCCCTCCCTCGCCGTCGTCACCTTGGTTGCATGATTGCTGTACTGGACTTAACTAAATGACACTGGCTCTATTCCTAATACCTTAAGCGAAGTGACCACAAAAACAATATTTACCTTCGTTTGTAATATATATATATATATATTTATTTATTTATTTATTTATTTCAAAATTGGGCATGTCCGGCATGATGTTGGTGATGCTTTTTAGGCATGTTCAGGAAAGCGGGCAGTATAAGCATCATCGTTTTTATTATTGGCGTTATTATTACTTCTATCACGTACACATGATTTGTGTTTAACTTCCTACAACATTTAATTTAACGTAATCTTCGTTCGTGTGCAACACTGCACAGTCTGCATTATGTTCTGTTTACTGATTGTGTATGCGGAAAAGATGAATAAAAAAAAATAACGTGATTGCGTATTATACGTGCGTTGCGGCTTGCTATGCTTCCTTGCGGAAGAGCTTTGGATGGTTTCGAATGCGCATGCACACGACAGACTCTCGCGATCTCCGGGTTTGTCGAATGATCGAGACAAGTTTAAATTTCTTCGGGAGGAGAATTTCACGGGCATGCTTTGAACTAGAAGTTTCCCGTGTGTGCTCTTCTTCTCTGGCGGGTCCGTGTAGGGCCTCGAATTGTTAGTACTCTTGGATCACAAGGAGCCCCTCATTGTAAATGAAGTAATCGCGAGAGGGGGAGGTTTATCGCGCCCTTTACTTTATCAACTGATTTTTGTCTGAAGTGCCGAGGTGATATGCCCGCTGCGCTATCCCTTGGCACGTTGTGATTCACCCCGTGACGCAGTGAGCTTACGTTGGAAGTTACCCTTTGTCTGGAACCAGCTGCGCGTGCCGACGGCTTCCTGCTGACTAAGACTGCTAGATTAAGCCTGAATTACCACTAATCATCGCCTACAAACTGAGTATACTGGACTAAGAATTACTTGCTGCCAGCGGTTGCCTGCGAACCTAGTAGTATGCAGGACTAAATATACCCCTGCGGACTAGGAACCCGGTACCAAGTATGAATCACTTAACGGTCGTCTGTAAACTATAAGTATGCTCGATGAAGTATCATTCGCCGCGGACAGTCGCGTGCTACTTCAGGCGACCGTCTGCGGCAAGTCATACTTAGTTCAGTTGCTTGCGCTCTCGTTCATCTTCAACTTGACGAGCCATGCAAACATGTCGGACTGCGGACCCCGTGGTCCGGGGTTTGATTTCCACTGAGCTTCTCGTTGCGTCTCTATGGTTTCACTTGAGTGTTTCTATAGTTATATTATCATGTATGAATTGTTATGACTAATTATGCCTTCTGTGTGCTTTGTATGCTTATGCATTGTCTACTACGGGCGGTGCATCCTTTATGTTGCCTTGGCCCGCGTTTAACACTTTTTCGTCACGCTGGAGCTTTACACTTTCTCATAAAATCCAGCCCATAGACACATTTTGTGTCTATGACTTTTATTGTGGCCAACATTCAAAGAATTATAATGAGGCTTAACCGTGTACAGCAGGATTTTGTGTCCAAGTCTGGTGCTCGGTTCTCGGTGTATTTAACTAAGAAGGCGTCTCTTTCTCGTGCAGTATCCTTGAGATGCGCAAGGAAAAGAGCCGGGACGCAGCCAGGTCACGGCGGGGCAAGGAGAACTACGAGTTTTACGAGCTGGCCAAGATGCTGCCTCTCCCCGCAGCCATCACCAGCCAGCTCGACAAGGCCTCCATCATCCGCCTCACCATTTCCTACCTGAAGCTCAGAGACTTTTCCCAGCACGGATACCGGCCCTGGCTCAGGGACCAGGGCGCGTCCGCCGCCGCCACCTCGCCCTCAAAGACCCAGCTCAAGGGTGAGCTTCTCCGGACACCCTTTCTTCCTTCTCTCCCCCGTCTCCCCGAGCGGAGACAATACCTCCGACAAGGCCGAGATCTTCTACGTCACCTACCAGAGACTGGCGCGGATTAGGCCCGAGTGCTGCGTCAACCTTCGGCTAGGACTCGGGTCTATTCAGTGGGGACAGCAGCTTTCGTGGGCATTCTGTTGTTTGCCTCCAACCTTTAGGAGAGAGCACGCTTTTGTGGCTACCCTCGCAGTTTTAGAGGGCTACCTTCCTTACAGAAAGCCACTTTCGTTCAGCGCTTTTCAGTAACTCCCCTATATAAAAAAGACTCAAAAGCTTCTGGCCACTTGATCTCAATTTTTACATTATGCCCCGAGTGGCAATATTTATTTATTTATTTATTTATCTCGATACCCTTAGGGCCCCTAGGCGTTACAAAAAGTAAGGTCATCAAATTCACGCAAAAACAAAATTAACACAATAAGAATACAAGCAAAGTAAGCGATTTTGTCAGAAACCTTTTAGTCCGGCGTGTTAGAAAAGGTGGTAGTTAACGTCTTCTTAAATAGTTTAATTGATGGTCTGTTTACCAGAGGTGCTGGAAGCCGGCTCGACTGATTGATGTAGGTACTTGATATGAAGGAGTCTATGTATGCTCACGTTGGACAATACGGCACGCTCAAAAATTTATGAGGGGCTAAGGAATAATTTACTTTTTAGTGAAGCGGTACAATTATACTTTTTTTGTAGAAAAGCCATAAACGAGATATTTTATGACGTATGGAAAGGAGAAAAAGATCGAAATTGTTTTGAAAGCGCTGCGAAGTTTTACGCAGAATGAATGACATAGGGGTTAATGTAGAATTTTGTTTCAGACGCCCAAGCATAAAATTATTGTTAGCGATGATGTGATCAGGGTGTGGTTTTCACGACACGTTAGATGTTAAGCGAACAACAAGATATTTGTAAGATGTCAGACATTGCAGATAGGTGGTACAAATTTAGAAATGAAAAGATTATGAGCTAAATAATCTTGCATAGCAACAAACAGATTTAAGTGGAGTACAGTCGTGTAAACTTTCTTGCTGGATACACTTTAAAATATTTAAGACATCAATATAATTCGTTTTATAGCGCGTACCAAATTTCTTTTTGCAGTTGAGATACAAGCATAACTTGTCGCTCTCTAAACACCCGTAAAGCATATTTGACTTATCAGTGTTTTCTTCACATACGGTCTGTGTGATTGGCAGAAATCATATTGTATCAGACAATTCATGACAACTAAGCCCCAAAAAACTTCCTTTGCGCTCTGGAGTTGTGCCCGTAGCGCACGCGTAGTGTTAATGTGTCCAAGGCGACCTTAAAGGCCGACGATCATCCAGAAAGGAGAACACCTTCACCTCCTTCAATTCCTCTTTTTAATCCGAGAAGAAGGGAGACCATTTTCCTTTCTGCGAGGAGTAGCTCGGAGATTCGCTCCTGCCGGAAGGAAAGGAGAGCAGAGTGCGAGAGGAATGGAGGGAATGAAACTGGGAACTGGTTTTCTTCCCGGCAGAAGGTGATTCTGTAGGTCGCCCTTTAATCTCTACTGCTTACTAAATGAGAAACCATTTCGTCAAAACAAGGGTAAAGCTCTAGTATCGCAACTGAGGTGCAGAACGCTAAGACTTCCACAAATGTTTTTTTTTTTTTTAATTATTCGAACAATTTGAGTAATGAAACAGTCATTTCGAATGGTACGCAAACCCCAGTCTTCGCGACCTTATAGCATCGTGACACCGACAACCGTTTTTGTCGTGGTCCTTTTTTTTTTTTCTTGACAGTAACCGTTATATTTTTGTTTTCTTCCTCTTCGCAAAACACGCAGCGCTCAAATAGCACCACCCAGTCAAAATGCCGGATCCACGGTAGGCCCTCTTGTTATATAGCATGACCTCTGCGTTCTGCTCGGCTCGCCTTGCAACGGGTCCTTACAAGATCCGATGTGAATAGCAACCGGAAACGGAACAGTTTTCTTGAGGGCGTACTCAACTAACGAAATCAGGATGACGCAGCGATTCTACGTTGACCGTGGGGGGCCGTTAAAGAGCGTGCCAGCCGTTGCGCAGCCTACGCTGATGCCCCTGTTCTTTAGTTTGTTGGTGTGTTTGTTTTCCTCTGGAGTCTTACACAAAACAATCCTGTTGGAGTGCTCAAGACATCCGCCACGGTCGCCGGTCCCTCTCCCTGCTGACGCTGAACATTGCGTAAAGTGAGCGCTCTAATTCCGTTAATATGGTAGGGGGGAGAGCGGGGGAAAACAGAAACCAATTGAACAGACAAGACCTAAAAATACAAAGGGGCGTTCGATATCTTGCCCGAGTGTGGCTTCGCTTGTTTTACAGCCCTCGATCTGCACGATCATCAGAACGGTGGTCGTAAGCGAACGGCGACTACCGCTAAAGTAGGATAGCGAGTATGCACCCGTGCCTCTGCGTTTCGTCCACATAATAAGTGACTGAAGTGCACGAGGATACACATAAATATTAATCTAGCAATCCAACATAGTAAATAGTCCAAACTACTGGACTATTTACCTTAGTTAGTCCAGTAGTTTGAAATAAGTCGAGCTACTAACTTCTCTTGTTTTATTGCAATAAAAAGTTTTAGCAATTAGTCTATCTGGCCGACAAGCATATAAGCATTATTGGCTTAGGTGTGCTTTGATGGTAATATATTTCGAAGATGAAATATTGAATCGTGTATCGTGCAAATTGTATATTGTATTTTGTATTTCAAATAGTTGCGCTTGTAATACAGGTAAGCAGAAGTTTTACCTACATCTGTAACAAGGGGTCCGTAGTAGTGAAATCAACCTGATACAGTGATAATTACATCATGTCACTGCCTCATACAATTTCTAAACACTTGTCTCGCGACCTTAGATACATCTTTTTTTTTTACATTCTACAGCTGTTTTTGCACGCAACTGAGGTTTTCATGCACTTCAGAACGCGCTCACAATGCATACCAGTTGCGTTTCCAAGCAAAATGCTGTTGCGTTTTTTTTAATTATTATTAAGCATTGGGACGCCAGCTTAAGGGTACCTCTTGGTGCTCTGGTGTATGGCGGTTTCTGTTCTCCCTTTCGAGAAACGCGTTTGCGTCCGGCTTCTCGCAGTGGACAGGCCACCGACTTCATACCGCATCACTCCGCACAGAGTGATGTGTTGATGCGAATGATGCACATCGCTCTGCACAGAGTTATGCGACAAAGTGAGCATAAGTCGATACTGCTTTCACCATGTGGACAAAACCTCGAGCCACTAAAGGCTTCGAAATAGCGGGTGCCATAAAGTTGCCTTGGATTCCAGCTATCAGCAGCTTTTGCCAACTTGCCTAACGCAGGAAGCGACCGTCCTTCTGCTTCTATTTTCTACTCGCAAAAATAATCCGCGACAAGCAAAACAACAGCGCCACCGTATACAGTTTTTTTTAGTCTTTTTTTTTTTATTCTTTTTAAAAAAAGAAAAGCGCAAAACGCATTGCGGTTTGTGCAAATGAGTTACGAGGTCAGGCGGACACTATGATAAAGAAATAACGCATCTAAAATATGACTAATTAACTAAAATTCACTAATTATATTTTTAAGTAGAGGATTTAGGGTACATATCTATATTGCGAAATTGGAGGAAGTGAATGTCGAAGGCTAGCCCAGTTCTAAATACTGTATTGAGCACGGGGTTCGAGTTATCCATCGCCAAATTTGACTCTAAAAACTGTCTGAAACCGAAACCAAACACTCAAAGCGCGCCGGAAAAACAACCGCCGTTTTGTACCAGAGGCCCACGTGGTTATGACGACATCTGCGTCACTTTTTTCGTGACAGCGCGACAGAGCTGAATGCGATAGGCGCTCTGCGGCCGCCCAGATAAGATGATAAACCAACTTAGCGACCATGACAAGTTGCTTTCCAGTGCATCTCTTTACTGTAATTTTTCCGCTTTCAAATCAGCTCAGAATACGGTTGTCACCGATAAGTTGATTACGCACTGAAAAATAAAAATTTTTCAGAGTCGCTAAGTTTGTTTATCACTTTATCTGGGCATCCGCGGAGTGTCTACCGCTATCAGCTCTGTCGCGCTGTCACGAGAAAAGTGACGCAAATGTCGTCATAACCACTTGGGCCTCGGGTGCGAAACGTGGGTTGTCTTTCCCGAGCACTAGAAAAGTTTAGTTTCGGTTTCAGACAGTTTCTAGAGTACGATTCGGCGATGGATAGCTCGAACCCCCTTCTCGATCCATGATTTCTTAGAACTGGGCTACCCCTAGACATTGTCTGCCTCCAATATCGCAATATAAACATGAGCCCTAACCCCTATAATTAAAAAGTTAATTCGTAACTTTTTGGGTAATTACTTATCCTTTAGATGGATTATCTCTTTGACTTTAACTCATCTGCACAAACTCCAAGGCTGTAGGATTTACGCTTTTTTTAATGAAATTATGTAAAGAATACAATAAAAAAAAACCTGTAGAAAGATTAGAACTTTCACTTCCGCAAACGGTACCCATGAGGCTTGAGGCGACCAATTAGCGGCGCTCACAAGTAAGTGGCGAGCCAAAAAATGCAGCGTCATGAAAACTGGCAATTAACAGTCGTTGCGGTGTCAGAGAATTGGAGAAACGATTGCTAGTACCCTGAGCCTAGTTTTTTTAGTGACTCTAACGGAACCTTGTTAGAGGCGCCGCAAGAGTTTCTCGTCCAATCATGAATTGGCAATGTCGGCGACACTCTTGGCGGCACTAGGAGCTAGCGAGGCAATCTTCTGCTCATCGATTTTTGGTTTATAACTCTATCGCGATTGCACTCGTCGGACGAATGAAGCGCACGAGCAGGGACCGCACAGCGCCGTTCTCAACTTCCAAATCCTCGAATGACTTGGGGGAGGTCGTTTGGGGGCTCCGCGCGAACAGAACCTCCCTCAGAGCCTCCGTTTGTCGGGCGGTGATGTATGCGAAACTAA